CCAACATTAATATAAAGTAAAAATTTTAACTTTGGTTAAAATGTCCCAGAACCTCATTTTCCTAGCTCACAACCCATGTGTTCTGTAACCCATGAGAAGCTCCGGACTTAACAACGGTTTCCGTTTCCCTAGTACTATATATTACTAAGTAAAATTTATAAATTCCGGTAATTTATTGTAGGGCAGTGTACTACCCGGCAAGTACTCGGCTAAAAAAATTGCCGAGTGTCCCGTTACTTATGTAATACTATTTAGTAAAATTGATATTTCCCGGCAGTTTCCCCCCTTTCTATTGCTTCTATTGCAAAGCCCCGGTTAGTACAACCTAAATAATTATTCAGACCAGATCAATTTTGAATGTCTAGTCCCACGTTATTTGAGTTTACTTCTTCTAATTCTCGTTGCTGTATCTATAATGACAGACGTTGTTAGCATTATTGAAAGGGTCATTTCGTTGGGCCAGCAAATCGCTGAGCGACTAGAAGCGCATACAGAAGCTGCCCAGAGTCTCTTGAAGTTGGAGAACATTTTGGGAATGCTCAAAAATATGCTCGCCGACATTGATTACGCCCGTGTTAATAAAGCCTATATTGTCAGTATCAAAGACGCCCTTGAACGAACACAGAAGGTTTATATGAGGTGTGCCGAGGATCTTAATATAAAGGACAAAAAGTCTATCGCTGGCAAACTCAAGAAAATCGCTGGAATATATAAAGCCCCCAGTATCTTAGCTGACATTCAAAAGTCCATCGTAGACGTTGAAAGCCATCTTAACATCACAGATAAGGCTTTGAGTATTATACAACGCGTTCAGACTTTATCCACACCTACGATAGTTTCAACAACTACTTCAACTACCACAACCACTTCTACTAATATGCTAAGTTCGGAATTGAAAGAGGCGCTAGCCAATACAATAGATGAATTAGTGTCAAGGCTTAAAAGCGATTGTCAACAGCTTCAAGAAAAGCTCGAACGTTGTACACTTTCCACTGAATCCTTTACTATTGAAAACTTAGGAAGAGATAATCCCGAGGCGATTTCATTTTGGAAGGAACGTTTCAGGTCTGCCGAGCTCAGCATATCATCTGTTGCTCCATACGAGGTAAACTATTTTACTAATTAGCTTTTGAAAAGTCAGGCGCTTATGTGAAATATCTTTGAATTTAGAATATGTACGTCTCATGGGCTCGGTTTGTTCACGAACTCGAGGTAACCTTTCAGCTAAAGAATATTCCAACCGCAATTATGAGGAATGGCACCATTGACGACTTCCGTCGGTATGGTAACAGATATTACATCGATTCAACCGTGACGCGCGATCTCAAAGACATTCGACCACTTTGGATTCCATACTTGCGAAAAGCATTGGATCCACTCTATAAAGGGTACATTAAACCACATGATTACTTGAATTTCCTTGGTGAAGATTCGTTGTCCAACAAACTGAGGCAAGTCGTTCTCGATAGCTGTGGATACGGTATTCTTGTGGAATGTCAGCGAACAAGTGGTGATATTTCCCTTCCTTCTGAAATAGAGAGTCCTGCCCACAGCGTTGGTTGGATGTCCGTCTGTCAAATCGTCTCGGTTCCAACATCGACGGAACTTGGCATATTCATATACGAAAAGAACGCACAGCAACGTTTTAACAACCTTATTGAAAACATCACTTATCCTAAAAACGACATCTGGGCGTACGTTCGCTACCTCCAAACTGGCCAAATCGAAAAAAAACTTATTTCAAAGAACGTACGAATGCTTGGTGGGCTTCGTATTGGAACCTCAATTGCTATTTTGGAAACCTTGGAAAATGGTTTAAGTGCTTGGAGTGACAGCCATTTAATCGTGGAGCTTAAAGCTTGTGTTGGTGGTCGATATATTGTGACCGCTGGATCAGGAGAAAATGTTATTGTGTTTAAGACAAAGCCGCAAACTGGCTTTAATGATCTGATACAGAATGACCAACTCGATGACTTTGACGATATTCCAGAATTTGATTATTGTATTTTGGGGCCCTCGACGGTTTTTACTCAGGAACCTAAAATTGGTGAGAAGATCCAGGTGAGCTATTTTTGTTTAATGCATTAACGTGATATAACAATCCTATTCAAATTGGGAATGGGAATTGATTCTAAATTGAAAGTCGATGGCCAAGCTTCAAATATTTTATTAACTTGATATTGTAATTGGAATTAATCACTTGATATAGAAATGTCATTAATATGTTATTGATACCTTTTACAAGTTTCCGATGCTAAAAGATCAGGAATAAATACGATTTATTTTATCATTTCCTAATAGAGCACAGTTTCGGCAATCGATTTTATTAGTTTCGATTCCCATCTCTAATTTAATTAATACTTTTGGAGATATTATATTCATTTCTATACTATGACACACATATATAGATAAATGTGGACGGATTATGGCATGATGTCAAAGTTACCGCGGTCAATGGTAAATTTGTAAAACATATTGGTTGGTATCCGACTTCCGACCCAAACAGCCCAACAGAAGACACTAAAAAAGATGAAGACGTTGAAAAAGATGAAGATACTGAAAAATATGATGATTATTACCTCACTGAAGACGAACTATATGCACAACAAAAAAATCCTGCTAGATGTTGGTGTCCGTGGACGGAAGGAATATCGAGTTCGGATATTAGGCCTTATCGGTGCCTTCACGTTGGTGATCTTGTTGAAGCACCCGTCATATACCAAGACTATCTTTTCCGTTACTATTGCCTCGAAGAATCGCAACTTTATCTCCCAGCTCGAATTATTGATGTTCAGGATGATCAGTATCTGGTCAAGTTTAGCCCTGCTGTCAGTGCTTACGCTTGGTGGCCTGGTAATACTTCAAGTGATAACGAATTTCCACGCGAACTAGGTTCTAAGGAAACTGTTAAGAATCCATTTGATGGCATACAAGTTACCATGAGTATGGATCGGGTTCGCCCTTACATTGCTGGACCACACCCTGTTTTGGATACACAGTCAATAAGACCACATAGTTGGTCAGCGTTTCAGGGCGTTCAATTCACAGACTTGCAACAAATCGATGAAAATATTCTGTGGAAATGAGTAATACGCTTTCATTTTAAAGCAAATCATTCACTTTTTTATTTATTATAATTTTATTTGCTATAAACTTAATTTATTTTAATGTAAATAGTAATATGTTCACACTTATTCCATTTTCATAATTAACTGAAATAACGGATAAGTATTGGGGAATTATTATAGAAGATAAGCACGTGGGACTATTTTGGGACTATTTTGAAAGGATTCATTAATATTTAATTCAAAATTCAAATAAAAAAATTAATTCCAACTATGTTAATATCATCCCTATCCGTTCCTGATCAGCGAACAGGCGTTTAATCGAATCATGAAGGTGAAATTCAAGTCAAAATTTTAATCTTATATCTTGAAAATCATTTTTGAATATTGAGAAGTCTCAAGTTCAAAGTCTGTGATGCAAAGAAAGATTTGTTACATGATAAACTTTAAAGGAGTGTAAAAGGGCAGATATCGAACTCAAAAAACGAAAACTCTTGAAGATAATAATTTTCCACATCTTCAACGAGTCTACGTTATTTCATCCTAAGCCTGCGCAAATGGGTTATCATGTAGAGGTTGAAGTGCGAGAGATTTACATTCGTTTTGTAGACTGTATCAATGGTAAATTTACTGATATCTGTAAGAAATTTTGCGCATTATCAATTTCCGGATTGATAACTTCGTTGTAATGAAACGTTCGAAGCTGGAAGAAAATCTGGATCGAGAAATATAAGCGTAAAACACAAATCCCACACTCCACACCACAAAAAAAAAATAAAAAAAAAATATTAATTGCTGAAAAACGTGCATGCTTTATTTATTATTACAACCACTATATTGTCCTGACTAACTTATTCGCATTATTTTTTCCCATTTGAATCGATAATTAATTCTAGTACAGAGGTATTAATTGTTTTTATTAATATTATTATATACATATTTGTTTAGAATGCAATTTATAGTTTTCAACATCGTTCAAATATACGATATAAGTCTGGTAAATTAGCTATTTGAAGTACGTGTCCATTTTCTGCGGCACTTTTCGGAGCAATAAATTGACTTTTTAAAATTGGAAAAATTAGATGTTCAACTTGCCATTTATATCTTGCAATCTCAGCCTTTTTTTGTTGTTCCGTAAAAATCAAATTTGTTACTTTTTCAGAATTTTTCCTTCTTGGCGATGATATTGATGCATTCTTGTTTATATTAGATGCGCTCATATCATCTGTTGAAATATCATCTTTATCGCTAACAGATGTTGAAATGATTGAAAAATTTGGTGGTTCAGTTGCATAAAATAATCCAAGTTCACGAGCAAGAGTATCAAAGCATCCAGTTTCAGTTTCCCAATCAACCTTTAAATGTAGGATTTTAAATGGTGGATTATTTTTTTAAAAAAAAAAAAATAAAAAAAAATAAAGCATAATTTAACATACCTCAGTTCCCAAACGTAGCAAAAATGTTGGAAGTTTATCTAAATTTGGTGCATATCCTTTAAGCATTAGAGGCAAAGTAGTTAATTCTCCATTCTCTGTTATAGTAATTGAGAAATATTCCATCAACATTTCTTTTCGAGTAATTAATTGGTCGACGATTATCTATATATATTTATTAATATTAATATCTTATTTTAACATTATTTTGTTTTATAGAAAAATTTACTTGAGCAATTTCTTCATTTGATTTCAAATCTTCGATCTCGTCACGGTCACATGATTCCAAAGCGAAAATTATAAGTTCACGTATTGGAGCAGGTAAAGACAAATGAATAAGCCCGAAATTATGAAATTCTAAGAGAGTCAATTGATAAAACAATTCTTCACTAATTGAAAATCATTGTTAGTTCATCTTGATCTTGTAATAATAATAATTTACCATATGGGAGCGTTTCCAGTAAAATCACATTACAGATCATATGATTTACTATGCCTCATAACTTGATTTTACTGGAAACGTTCCCATATGTTTCCCGTAATTTGATAATACCTGAGAATATTATAATTAACCATATAGAGTTTTGTTTGATGCTGCACCAGTGCTAGGGTTAAAGAATCATCAACACATCCGACAAATGTGTGATTTGCAAGCAGTTCCGAAAGACCTAATGTAAATAGGAATGTATTCAAGAGCATAAATTTAGCGTATAAATGCAAATATATTATAAAAGCATACCTTTATGTTCAACTTCCTTTATTCGCTTGCGTAGAGTCAAAATACTGGTCAATCGAACCTCAAAACGCTCCCGCTTGCGTTTTCCTCCAACGATATTACTATTAGAAGTAACTTTTGAACTATAAAATTTAAGGATGATCCATAATTATAAATATTAAATAAAGTAAACATTCAAAGTATCCAAGTATCTAAAACATTACCTATTACTTGAATGAGTAGGTTTATATTGCTCTTTTCTTGAATTGTCCTCGAGTTGCTTATTAACCATATCATCAGGGTTCAAAAAGTTGTCAAGTGTCTGCACACGACTATCTGTCCTAACAAGCTTGTAATTTGAAACCTTGATTCCTTCATTAAAGTTATAATTGTTAAATAAATTAAATCATTATCCTTTAAAATATCACATCCACAGAATCGAGATGAATACCTGATTTTTTAATAGAACTTTCTACTTGATTCATATTCGCTTCAATGACTTTAGCTCCAGGTAATAAAGTCTATAAGTAATGAAGAAATTATCTATGTAATAAATTTATATTTTTATATATATAATATATATCAAAAATAATACCTGTGTCAAAAATACTCTCGAACTATTCGCATCAGCGAGACGTTCTTGTATGGTATCTCCAATTGCGGCAATGACTTCATCTTCGTTCAAGAAACTAACCTATCAAGACAGCAAAAAAAAACCCCCATAAATTTACATATCGAATTGAATAAGTAATACTAAACGAAAATTAGTTTACTTCGCGTTTTGTTGGATGAACGTTAACATCAACATTCTGTGGGTTGATCTCCAGACTTAAATACACATATGGATGAGTACTTTTTGGTAAATAAGTCGCGTAGATACTTTCAATAGTCTTTTTTAGCGAAGAATTTTCCACAGCTCTGTCTTTAGTTCATGTTTATTTGTATCAAATGTTATTAAATATCAGAAAGAATTCATAATATGACTCAAAGTTGAATGACTACTTACGATTTATAAATAAAAGAAAATTCATTTTTTTAAGGTTGTAATTTGCGTTGGATATATATCCATTAACTTTGAACTCCAGTTTCCTAAAAGATTTCCCTAATTCTATCAATTCGGAAGCTACATTGCCATATATATGACGGATATTATCTAATGTTGAAGACGTTGATAAAGTGTTTACATCCGCTTGGTTTGAACCTTGCTATTTTATTTAGAAAAATTATATTACTACTAAAAATATTTTAAAGCAATCAATATGATAATTGTGCCAACCTTTTTACAAGTAAAGCTGACTCCAGAATTATGAATCGCATATCGATTCACTACGTCTAAAATTCTATTGTATTCATCACTCGGATTCTTTAAGGCTTTCCTACGTGTTGGAACATTATAAAAAACATCTTCTGCCTAACATAATGGGTTAAATTCAATAATACCACGATATTAATTTTAAAATGGAAAAAAAATAAAACAAGTTATAATGAAGATACTTACCGTAATTTGTGTACCGGTATTACCAGCACATGCCTTTGGTTCCGCGCTTGTACCAGGTTTTGCAGGAACAAGTTTACCATCCGAATAACAAGCCCTTAGCGATCAATTAAATGAATTATAATTATAGATTACTTCGACATTAAAATAATGTCATATATGAAATAATTTTTTACCTATAAGCACAGTTAGAGTCTGCTGTCTTGGTGGTAATTGTAACATGAGCAACATGACTTATGCTTGCCAAAGCTTCACCACGAAAACCATATGTACTTATATTTGATAAATCTTCAAATTTCTTTAATTTGCTCGTTGTAAAACGTTCACAGACAATGGACATATCTTCTCTCTGACATAATCCGCGTTAATAAATAATTAAATTCAGTAATATAATAAAGGACTGTAATGACTAACTCTAATTCCGTGTCCATTATCAAGTATTTGTAACAATTTAAGTCCCCCATCCTTAATTGTAATTTGAATGTTTGTGGCACCAGCATCCAAACAGTTTTCAATCAACTCTTTTAATGCGTTTGCAGGTCGGTGAATTATCTAATAATCTTTGTTTAAGTACTACTAGTCAAAAAAAATATTAAATATTATCAATTATCATAAATAATTTATCACCTCTCCAGCGGCTATGCGATTTACTACTGTTTCATCTAATCTTCTAATGGGACGTGCATTAGTCTTATCAGTCATATTTTTTAATTATTTTTAATTATTCGCACGAACGCGTCGATTTTCGTGAACAAAGTAAATTGAAAAATCCAGCAAATGAAATTATCCCATCAGATAATAAGCGAATTATCCAATCAAAAAGTGGTGTGGTGACATGATAAAAAAATTCAGGGTTCAGGATTATTTCTTTCAAAGACAATTCTTTAGATCGCGTTGTATTTTTATAAAATGGCAACTGACACTTGTTATACTATAGTTCACCAAGATGACAGTTCAGATCAACCTTCCCTGCAGGAGCTCAAAACGGCTCTTGAAAAGGGCTCCGAGGAGGCCAAAATTGAGACCATGAAAAAAATTTTAGTCACAATGCTTAATGGAGAGCCACTTCCACAAATTTTAATGCACGTTATTCGTTTTGTAATGCCTTCAAAAAGTAAAATTTTAAAGAAGTTGCTTCATTTTTACTGGGAAATTTGTCCCAAAACAAATTCTGATGGAAAATTAAAACAAGAAATGATTTTGGTTTGGTAATTTTTTTTTTTTTTCATATTGAAAATATATATATTATATAATGTAAGATATTAAGATATTTTAAATTAAAAACTTGTATTATTTAACGATTAAACTATTATTTATTCTGTAAAGCAATTCTTTGAGGAATGATTTGCAACATCCAAACGAATATATAAGAGGTGCAACGCTTCGATTCCTCTGTAAATTGCGTGAACCAGAATTATTAGAGCCCTTGCTGCCATCTTGTCGGTCATGTTTGGTATGATAACTGTGAAAGTTATGATTATTTGTAGAATTTCATATTTACAGTTCGAATCTTAATTAATAGGAACATCGACATGCTTATGTTAGAAAAAATGCAGTGTTTGCGATTTATACTATATTTAAGCATTTTGAATATCTAATTCCTGATGCTCCAGAATTAATTCAAAGTTTTTTAGCAGCTGTGAGTGATTAATTTGATATTCTAGTAGATATTTTTTAAAACAATATTGATATTTGCATATTGCCATTTTGTTACAAAGGAAGCCGATCAAACCTGTAAACGTAACGCTTTCGTTATGCTTTGCAATACCAATCAAGCCCGTGCCGTAGAATACCTTAATGACGCTTTCGATCAAGTACCAAATTTTGATGAATTATTGCAGTTATCTGTAATCGAATTGATCAGGAAGGATTGCAGAAACAACAGCACTAACAGGGTGATATATTATTTTTAGTGTATCAAATAATGTAGATTGCCCACGCAGAACTTTAGTTAACATTTGCGGGGCATTTGGATACGATTTGCGTAGGGAAAATATATCAGGTGTATCTTTGACTTGTTGAATGCTGCATCTCATTCCGTCAAGTACGAGGCCGCGACTTCATTAATGGCATTGACTCATGCACCCGCCGCTGTTAAAGGTATGTTAATTGAATATAACAGCACTAATTTTTATAGACAAATATTTTTATATTAATTTATTTTCAATTTATTATTTCAGCTGCCGCTTCTTGTTATATCGAACTAATTATCAAAGAGTCAGATAATAATGTTAAATTAATTGTTTTGGATCGCTTGGATGAATTACGTGAAAAACACGATCAAACATTGGACGATTTAGTATTGGATATTCTTCGTGTCTTAACTAGGTATTCATTATTTAATAATATGCAATATTTGTTAAAAAAGAAATGAGAATTAAATTTAAGTACGAATTTTTTATATATAAAGCCCGGATATTGAAGTTAGGCGCAAAGCATTACGCATTGCTTTGGAGTTAGTTACAACTAGAAACGTTCAAGAGGTTGTGGTGTTCTTGAAAAAAGAACTCAGTAAAACTCTTGATCAAGATTATGAAAAGGTATTACAATTTAGCGTTTTCACCTCTTTCCCTTAATAAAACAATAATCTCCCTTAAAATTCTTTTTAGAACAACGAATACAGGCAACTATTGATCCAGTCCATTCACGGCTGCGCTATTAAATTTTCTGAAGTTGCAGCAAATGTAGTTCATGTTCTTATGGAATTCCTAGGAGATTCTAGTAATCCAGCAGCCGTAGATGTTATCGCGTTTGTGCGGTGAGTTATTTTTAAAGATCGTGTCTGTTTTAATTCAGTTTAATAATTTTCATTTCATTTAATTCATAGTGAGGTAGTTGAAAAATTTCCTAATTTGCGATCATCCATCACAGAAAAGTTGCTTGAAACTTTCATGGATGTTAAATCGGGAAAAGTGTTTAGAGGTGCTCTTTGGATCGTTGGGGAATATTGTTCTACCTGTAAAGGTAATTAAAGTCTTGAATATGTTGTTATTTTCATAAAGTTTTATGAAATTTAACTAAATATTATTTTAGATATTGAAGATGCCTGGAAACAAATCAGAGCTGGACTTGGAGAAATACCAATATTAGCCTCCGAACAGGTTCGATGAAATTTTATTATTTTCGTATATTTTTTATTATTTCTTTTCATAAAAAAAAAGGAAAAGGAAAGAAAGTAAGTCGCATCATCATATAACTTTTATTAATATATTATTAACAGCGGTTACTTGAAGAAACAGAAAAGGAAAATAAAGTCGAAGAACTTAATTCGGAAAATAAAACAACTATCACTTCTTCGTCGCGACGCGTTCTTGCCGATGGCACTTATGCCACTGAGACTGCTTTTTCATCAAATTCATCAACTCTTGCGAAGCTTGAGGCAGTTAAAGCGGCTGTTAAACCCCCACTTAGATGTAATTATATGGTTTTAATTAAATCGAATTATTGATCATAAATTCATGTGTTTAAATTTTTATTTTCAATATAGCATTATTATTGAGTGGTGATTTCTATCTCGGTTCTGTCCTTGCATCAACACTAACCAAATTGGTTCTACGTTATGCTGGAGTTTCGACTGATTCCAAAAAAACCAATGCATTACGTGCAGAGGTGAGACAGTTGTAATTTATTACGCATTATACATTTTATTTTAATTGGATGATTTTATATATATATTTATTTATATATTGCCCTTATCTTTAGGCAATGCTTATAATGGCTAGCGTAATTCGTGTTGGACAGTCCCAATTTGTTTCAAATCCAATTGATGAAGATTCTTACGATAGGATAATGTCATGTCTTCATATTTTGGAACAATTTTCAACTGATAATTTAATAAAAAATGTGTTTTTACACGATACTAGGGTAGCTTTCGCAAGGATTGTTGAAGCTGAAGAGGTTTTTACTTTTTTTTAATATTTGTTATCATGCTTATATTTTGCCCAAGTTTATTCGAATTTATAATAAATATAGAAACGCACAGCAGCTAAAAAAGCTAAAGATAAGTCGGCTGTAGCAGTTCAAGTTGATGATCTTATTACATTTAGGCAATTCTCAAAGCGAAATATGGGTGATGAGGCAGATGAGGTACATTTTTTTTTTCACTAATTTTATTCTTGAAAATTTATTCATTATTTTTTTTTTTTTTTGTTTTAATTAGTATGAATTAGATCTGACTCGTGCGACAGGCCAATCCGATTCACGTGATGATTTGATTTCGAAGCTTAGTCGTGTAATCCAACTTACTGGTAAAAATTTTTGTATTAAAGAAATTCTTATAAATTAAATATTTACAGAATTGTCCGTTTGATTAGGATTTTCCGATCCCGTTTATGCAGAAGCCTATGTTAACGTTCATCAATATGATATTCTATTAGGTAAGAATATAAACATATTTATTAAATATTTTTTTTTTGTTTCGATTGAAGACTAATTATTAAATTAAAATTAGACGTTTTAATTGTTAATCAAACAAGCGAGACTCTCCAGAATTTATCAATTGAATTTGCCACTTTGGGCGATTTAAAATTGGTTGAGAGACCTACACATCATAATCTTGCACCTCACAGCTTCCATAGTGTGAAAGCCACGATTAAAGTAAATCACTTTCGTACAAATTTCGATATATATATTTATTATTGATTTACACAATGCTGATTATATGGTATTTATAGGTTTCATCCACGGAAACGGGTGTAATTTTTGGTAACATTGTTTATGATGGACCTGGAACTTCGGAAAGTAATTGTGTGGTACTTAATGATATCCATATTGATATTATGGATTATATAAATCCAGCTTACTGTAATGAAACTCAGGTATTATTAAACGCTATGTTCTTTTTATTGTTTTTTATTAAATTACAATTGTTAATTTAAATTTCAGTTCCGTAGTATGTGGACTGAATTTGAATGGGAGAATAAAGTTAATGTTAATACTAATATCACGTAAGTTTAATAATTATAATAATTGAAAATAAACTCTCATTTATTCTTTTATCATTTTCTTAGAGATTTAAGTGAATATCTTGGACATATTATGAAATCGACAAATATGAGTTGTTTAACCCCAGAAGCTGCATTATCGGGAGATTGCGGTTTTCTCTCTGCTAATATGTATGCAAGGAGCATTTTTGGTAAGGACAAATTGTTTATAATTTGCGAAATTCGATCCAAATTGGGATAAATATAAATTATAATTTTTATTTAATAGGTGAAGATGCTTTAGCTAATCTTAGTATCGAAAAACAAACCGATGGAACAATTACCGGTCATGTTAGAATTCGAAGTAAGACACAGGGTATTGCGTTAAGTCTTGGTGATAAAATCACATTAGGTAATAACCGATTTAATTACTTTGCTTTTTTCTTTATAAACGTATTACTTATTCTTTTCCGATTTTATAGCTCAAAAAGCTGCCGCTTAAAAAGTTAATTTAATTATTATTTTTATTTTCGGATTCGTTTAACGATAATGATTATTATTTACATAGAATTTACAAATTAAAATTCAAATAATTTATTCATTTAAACATAATAAAAATATAAAACGTTGAATAATACATATCAATATTGATTATATAGTCTTAACAATCATCCATCCTATATAACCTAACTAAATAAAGTAGAAATAATATAATTATGTTATTTAATTATATTAAAGATTAGTTTATTAAAAAGAATATAATATGCGATATCTTCGACTTTATCAAAATATAACTACAAATTCCTAAAATAATAGAAAGGAAAACATAATACAAATACCAAAAATTTTTTTGTTTAAGAGAAACTAAGGATTTGATTTAAGGAGAATTTTATTATACGATATATATATATAGAGTAAATTCCTAAACACGTGATATCTAAGATGTTAACTGGTATAAATTTTTTCGAGATGTAAAATTTTTAAAAAAAACTCTTTGTTGCAATCTTGAAAGGTGTGTATAAATTTTGAACAAATTTTTTGTCGTTAATAAAAAAGTTTATAAATGGACGAAATGAGCTATAAAAGGAAATGTATTAACATGATTAGTTTAAGTATTATCCTTCGAGAATACTTTGAAAAAAAAATTTTTTTTATAATTCTGACTTTCTTTTTTTTTCTATTAAAAAAATTATTATATCCTTATTCTTTGGATGATCTAAAAAATAACAAGATTTACTTCAAACGCAATGGGTAAGTCTTTAAGCTTCGATGGTTATCTAATTCTCATCTATATAATTTAATTATATTTTTTTTTTAATCAAGCCAAAAGTAAGAATCATACTAATCACAATCAAAGTAAGTTGTATAAGTCAAATAGTCATTTATGACAATTGAAATTGTGATATCAATTTTATTTATGATTTATTTTCCTTTTTTTTTAAAAAAAACAAAAAATTTAGATCGAAAGGCTCACCGTAATGGTATAAAAAAGCCAAAAACATATCGTTATCCTTCACTAAAAGGGGTACGTTGAAGATTTATATCTATTTATTTATTTAAATAAGACAATTAATGTATTTTAATAAATTTAATTTAGGTTGATCCTAAATTTCTTCGTAATCAACGGTATGCGAAGAAGGTAAATAATTATTGTAAGAAACAGAATATTTTAATGATAAAGACTTAAACAATTATTTTTTTTCAGGGAACAATTTTAGCTTTAAAGAAAGCTAAGGCTTCAGCTATGAATACAGATTAAAAGATAAAGGTGTTTATGGTTGGAATAATGGAAGTAAAAATAATTTTATTATTGATGATTCTTACTTTATGGTCCTAGTTATTAAAAAAAAAAAAAAAAAAATCAAAAAAAAAAAAATAAGGATAAAAATATCATTTAATTAATATTAACATTAATAATAATAAAATGTTATAATCAATTTGAGATTAACAATATCACTTAATAAAATATATTTACAACCAATACTTCAACTAAAAATTAATCAACTTAATAAGTTTCTAGAAAATTTCTAAATATTCATTAAAAAATATGAACAAAAAACTGATTAAAAAAATGACTTAACTCATTATACAAATTTTTCTGCAGAGTTTTTATATAACAATTAATGGATAATGAGCAAATGACAAATTGTGAATGCACGATTAAATTTCGTCAATTAGAATAGTCGCCTGTTTGGAATTTTTTAAGATCGAATAGGGATGCATTTATACGACGTCCACCAAACCAACGACCATCTAATTTATCTTTGGCTTTTTCAGCAGCTACAAAAAAATAAATAAAATAATATGATCATTGTTCCAAATCTCTATCATAAAAAATTTAAGGTCATATATCGACTTACCATTTTCATCTTCGAATTGTACAAAAATTTTAACCAACCCTCGTTCACCTTCAAAAATTTCTTCGGAATCAATATGAACTACCACCTTTTCAACGTTACCATAATTACCACATTCTTCTTGGAATTCGTCTTCTAAAGAATCATCAACTTCAGAAGGTGAAACCGCATTTTTTATAACCACCACTGGAGACGACTAAAATTATAGGTTTATCGTAAAATCCTGATAGATTAATTAAACGAAATTTAATTTTTTAATTTACATACCTCTTGTCTCGCTAATTTCTGCATAATTGCATAACGCTGACTGGCACTGATACTCATATTCTCTTCTTGTGCAACCGATTCAACTGCGGTTTGACCTCTTGCTGCGAGATCTGCCGCAATTTTTGCTGCCGCATTTTGCGCTTTAACTGCTGCCGCTATTAAAGTTATTTCAATTAGAAAGAATATAAAACGGTAAATCGTTCCAAGTATCTAGAACAATTTAAATACCTGCAGCAGAAACAGAAGGTGATGTTACAATAGGTGGAGGTGGAGTAGCTCCTGCAGGAAGAGGAGGCAACTTATCAATAGCTTTCATTCCTTCACTAATAGGTCCTCCAATAACTGCCTTCCCTACGTGTAGAATTAACCCTCCCAATTCAAAATTGTTCATTGAGGTTACAGCTGTACTAGCGGAAGATTCATCTTCAAATTCAATGAACCTAGAAATAATAGCCAATAAAAGGAAAAATATGATTAATATATTAAACAATTTAAAAACTGATTATATCCGTTCCGATCTTAGGTTTCGATATTGCTGGGTGGATTTCATTATGGGACACAGATGTAGCACTACCACTTCGACCGTCCAGGCGGTGGTTGCCAATAATAGAATGTGCTGGCTTTTCATCACTGAAGGCGTGAATAACTGTCTGCCGATTAATTATGTGTAGTCCATATGTACACACATTTAATGTGTTTTTGTATATGTAGAAAAAAAATATTCGGATAATGGAAAAAAAAATAATATAAATAGTAATAAAATAAAGAAAAAAATTGTAGTGCATGGAGTACATAGAGTGCATAGACAAAATAAAAGTGAGTGTGCATTTCCCACAACTTCCATATAGCAAAAAAAAAAAAAAAAAAATTAAAAAAAAAGAAAATTAAAAGAAAGTCGATGACATAAACCAATATGTATTAAATAATTAAAGTAAAGAAATTTCCGGCATGTCAATGTAGAGCTCCTCTCCTGATAACCGAAAATGCGGCTTGATGGCAAATGTCTGTTATTTTATATATAATTTGAGAAATTCAAGAGAAAATATGCAAGGGGAAATGGACAATAAAGAAAAAAAGAAATTCACACAACACGTGAGCAGACAGCGACACCGGTTGCACGGGGAATTATAATACTCCCATTAATCGTCAAAAAAAATTTGATCCAAAATACATCTTGTATCCACTATATACGTTGAGAAGATTCAATAAAAGACACATTTTAAATATTAACTGGTTCAACTTACCCATATCCTTTATGCTTTCTTGTTATGAGATCAGGCTAAATGTACAAGAAAAACAGGCAACCAAGTTAATTAAATAGGAACGAACATAAGAGAAAATTATAAAATAAAAAAAGTATCCTACCATTAAAGCGCAATGATTGATCTTTCCAAATGATTCAAATATGCTCAATAAGTCTTCTTCACTTACGTATTCATTAACGTTTGATACATATATTCGAGTTTTTGGAGGAGGAGATAATCCTATATTATCTATCTTATTCAGTATATATTTTATTCAGACACTCAAATCTATAATTATAAAAATAAACCCTATAACTAACCAGCAGCGGTTGCAGCTGTATAATTGTTGGGACGACCAACTTTAAGCTGTCTGAATATTATAAAAGACGAGTCATTAATATATACATTATTATAATTATAAAGATAAATAGATATGAACAAATTACCTTCCACCTAATTCAGCACCATTCATTGAATCAAGAGCTAAGGAGGCACCTTCCGGAGTTTCAAATTCGATAAAACAAAATCCCTTATGCTTTCCGGTTAGAGGATCTAATGACATACTAACGCTCTTGATTGCACCAAACTGACCAAAAACTACACGTAAATGTTGTTCGGTTAATTCAAAATTTATAGATCCAACATAAATACGTGATAACACAGAAAGAGATCGAGGATCTATTCCAGAAGCCAATCCAGGATTAGACGATAAAAGAAGAGTAGGAAGTGGTGGTGGAGAATGATTAATTCCAGCGGAATTTAGTAACTTTAAAAACAAATATCATTCAATTTTAATAATCTGTAAATTATAAACAAATATAAAACTTTCAATTATTGTACTTACGACCGACTGCATTTCTTTTGCGAAAGCTTTAGCTTTATCTAATGCTGCTTTTTGTGCGTCATTTAAATGTAATGCGGGCATTTTATCCAGCCAAGAAGATTTAGGAAAAACCGTAGCGGTTGCTGGTGGAGTGTATAAAGTAGTTGTTGGTGGTACAGGATTCGTAGGAGCCGTAGAGTTTTTCGTTGCTGAGCCTGAAGGAGAAGGAGCTGGCGTCGTAGATTTAGGTGTTGGAACTGGCGTAGTAGAACAAGGAGAATCGGGAAGTTTGGCTAAGTCGTTTTGACCAAATTCGAAAAGTTACTTATAAATCAAACACGTATAAACAAAAACAAAACGAAGTGATATGATCTTTATTTACATCCTTCAATCTTTATCCTTTTAGCGTCATCAGGAGACCAAGTTTCGTCTTCGTCTTCGTGATTTCTCTTTTTAGCCTCAACAGGAACTTCTTCTGAGGCTGTTACTATCTCCATCTCGGTATCAATAGAAAGTTCGGACATTTCACACTATAAGGTTAACAAAATATTCGAAGCTAAGTGTGGCGAAGAAAAATTATAACTAGAAACGACTTTTGTTTGTTTTGATTAACGCTTAATTGTTCAGATCGTGTGCAACGGCAAAAGATTTTCAAATCATATTTGTCATGTGATAGAGGTTTTGAAGATCGGTATATCGGTAGAGAGACAGAAGATCAACTATAAATAAGATCTCATTTTCTGAAAATGACGAAAAACGTACATCCAATTGTTAGGGGATTCATTTTTTTTTTTTGGTTTTTTTTTATAATTCAGTATAGATTTCAGTCTAAATTTTCCCGTTCTTAATGATTATAGAGATTATAAAAGGGAAATCGGATTGAAACCGAACTGTCCAAAATTTCTTTAACCTTTTGTAATAAATTTATAATACGAAGCAAGGATCAATATCTATCATAGATTTTGTGATAAATGCCGCAGCATTGATAATCTTTTTAAGGGGTAAATCGCTAAATCGCTAAACTATAAGTAGAAAATCAAAATTTGATTACCTATATCTAGATACGTAGATTTCTTTATAAAAATAATGATCATCAAATCTTTTCTTATAATAAAACAATGATATAAAAAAAATCCCAAATTTATACAATAAAATTTATTTAATCACACAAAATTTTCTTAAGACCATTGTCTTTAAAAACTTTATCATGTTTCAGGTAATAAGCAAGCAAATCACCAGTAAAGTCACCAGACCTGCAAGTTTTACGGTGATCGGTCGGAGGTTTTATGCTACCTCTGGTAAGTTGGATATTTTCATTATTTACGAAACTTTCGTTCCTATAATTTATAACAATAAAATATTTTATTTTGTAGTTGAAGAATTCGATACCGTTGTAATTGGTGGTGGTCCAGGAGGGTACGTAGCGGCCATTAAAGCTGCTCAATTAGGCTTAAAGGTATCGAATTATTTTATTTATCGGTAATAACGAATCGAGCATTTGTTTCATTCTAAAGCGATTATTTTTCTTTGCCAGACTGCATGTATTGAAAAAAGAGGTTCACTTGGTGGCACATGTTTAAATGTTGGATGTATTCCTTCTAAGGCAATGTTGAACAATTCCCATATTTATCATCAAACAAAACACGAATTGAAAGATAGAGGAATCGATGGTACGTTAAAAATATAACCATGCAACATCATATAAATGTGTTGTTTGATGTAATATATAATGCTTTTAATATTTTGTAAAATAAAAGTTTCGGATGTGAAACTAAATTTAGCTGCAATGATGAAGGCTAAAGATAAGGCTGTCAAAGGACTTACTCGGGGAATTGAGGGACTATTTAAAAAGAATAACGTAACTTATGTTAAAGGGCATGGAAAATTCGTTGGATTACACGAAATTGAAGTAGATGGATTAGATGGAAATAAAACTACGCTAAAGGCCAAAAATATTATAATCGCAACCGGATCAGAACCAACACCATTTAAAGGTTTAGAGGTAATGATATAAAACACTTTTTGTAAAATAAAATAAATCAATCATTAATTGTAAGAAAATTATATAGGTTGATGAAAAACAAATAGTTACGTCTACGGGTGCACTTTCATTAGAAAAAGTACCTAAAAAAATGTTAGTTATAGGTGGTGGAATTATTGGTCTTGAATTAGGATCGGTATGGCACCGTTTAGGTGCTGAAGTAACTGTTGTAGAATTTCTTGGAGCTATTGGTGCTGGAATGGATGGGGAATTGGCGTATGTAACATTGTTTGCTATTGGAATCGTGTTTGGTAATGTAAAATTTTGTTGATTCTTATCCGGTTTGATTACATAATTAGCAAGTCTTTTTCGAAAATACTTCAAAAACAAGGATTAAAGTTCAAACTGAATACAAAAGTTATCGATGCTACCAAAAAAGATGACAAAGTATATGTAAATGTTGAATCTGCAAATGGTGGAGATAAGGAAACAGTACGTAAAAAGTTACGTAATAATTTATTTCGATATTTGCGTAAAAAGATTTCTTAAAAAGTTTTCTTCAATTATAAAGTTGAATTCCGATGTGGTCCTTGTGTCAATTGGACGACGTCCTTATACAGAGAATCTTGGGTTAGAGAATGTGGGTATAGAAATTGATGAAAAGGGTCGAGTCAAAATTGATTCTCAATTTCGTACCGACAAATCTCACATCCTTTGTGTTGGTGATGTTACATATGGTGCCATGTTAGCACATAAAGCAGAAGAAGAAGGTACTTATTCATTTTTATATTGTAGGATTGAATCACTTTTTATGTTAAATTACTAGTATTTTTATTAAAGGAATTGCAGCTGTTGAGTTTATTAAAACTGGATATGGACATGTAAATTATGATGTGATACCATCTGTAATTTATACCCATCCTGAAGTTGCATGGTGTGGTAAGACTGAAGAAGAAGTGAAAGCATCCAACAAACCATATCGTGTCGGTACTTTTCCGTTTGCGGCAAATTCTCGTGCTCGTACTAACGATGATTCTGAAGGAATCGTCAAAATCATTTCTGACTCTGAAACTGACCAAATTCTTGGAGTTCATATCATTGGACCTAATGCTGGAGAAATGATCGCTGAGGCGGTTTTGGCCATGGAATATGGTGCAAGTAGCGAAGATATTGCTAGAACTTGTCACGCTCATCCAGTAAGTTTTGAATAAATCTCGGAATCAAATTTTGTGTTCAAACAACATCTATAACAAAAATTATTTTACCATTCTTTAGACACTGTCTGAAGCTTTAAAAGAAGCTGGTTAGTAATCATTATATATATATCTACGTGTATTTGATTTATAACTATTTATTAATAATATTTTTTTTTATTATTCATTTTAGCTATGTCCACATACGACAAACCAATTCATTTTTAAAAAAAATTAATTTAAATTGTATTTATCGATATTACGTTGAACATTATTTATTCATTCATTCCATTACCGGTAAATTATTGATAAAGCGAATAATGTCTATTTCTGAATTATTGAAATATAATCTCTTTCGGTCGATTATTTTACAACCTTACAAAGTTACAACGTTATTAATAAATGTGTGATCAAATCAAGTAACACATAATACATTAAGTATACGGTAACAAAGTAAAATAATTACACTTATTATAAACTACACTAACTATAAGCTAAATAAGAGCAAAAGATAAGAATTAGTGAGTACTTTTAAAATCAGTTAATGCACTTTTTGCAAATTGTTTGACTTTACGATTTCGCATACGTAATCTTTGAAGCCAAGAATCCTTTATCGGTAATTGTCGTCTTCTATTTCTAAGTGCATATGCGGCAAATATAATTGCTAATATGACACAATTTATAATTGCATGCTTTGCCATAATCTAACATATAAATTAAATAAGTGGATTCATTATCTTTCTGTATTGAAACAAATGAGACACGTCAAAAAAACAACAAGAGAAACTCACTTTGACAAACCAAGACCAACTTCGATTTATGATTCTCTTGTTTTTTTCACGTTCGTTTAAATCTCTCCTTAATCCTTCTATCCGTTCATGTGAAGCAGCAACTTCAGCTTGTAGTTTTTCAAGAGCTTTCTCAATTTCACTTATTCTACGAGGAGTAATTAATGATGATTGTAATGTTCGTTCAATATTGTGAATTCTTCTATTTATTGATAAATGATTTGAAGAATCTTCTTCTGATGATGAATTATAACGTGAATGGTGAAAATGAATATCATCTTCAGTTGGAGTAAATTGTACAAGTTCGGGTGGTGGTGTATATTGTTGCTGTCCTTCCGGTGAAGCATTAGAGTCATGTCGTATATGCAAATCATTCAATGAAGATTCGTGCCTTGTGGATGTGGTTTGTGTTGCGTTAAGTGGGGGGAATGGTGATAATGTATCGTCATTTGTAGGTGTTGAATAATCTTCAGTATCTGATCCATTTCCATTATTATCTAGAGAAAGATATGAAATATTTCAATTATATAAAATTCAAATTTATATAATGGATATTTTTGCTTAATTAATTAATAACTTACAATGTATCATTACTAAATAATTTTTCTATCAATTAATTTATTATAAATTTTTTTTTTTTAAAAAAAAAAAAACGAATGAAATTTGTCAAAAAAATAAAATATTCTATTCGTATTTAATGATCAATCATGATCATCAACAAATTCACGTGATATTAATAAGACTTATGTATATATACAATTTGTTGTTTTGTCATTTTCCCCCTTTATTTCAGAATGTTTTATAATGTTTATATTATCGGTTTTGAAAGATACAATTCATATACAACCTTATGATTTTTATAAATCTAAATATGACGCATTGACCGACGAAATTAATCGAATTTATGCAAATAAAGTAAGGTTTATCGATTATAAATAGCATCCTCGATTCAAAAGATTCTCTCTTTTGCTTTTTTGTCCAATTCTGTAAAGTATTAAACGAATGCTTCTTTTATGATGCCTGATAGATTATTCAAGAAGTTGGATTATGTATATGCTTATTTGATATACTTTCTGCAAGCGAAGAAATAGTTCATTACGGGAACGGTGCTAGTTATGCTAAAGGTATTTGTGCTTTATTCTGGAAAAAAGCATAATTCCCTAATTTATAGAACTTTATTTTTATTTTAGTTACATTTCGGTTAGTTGTATTTCGACCTTTCATTGGTGAAATACTTGAAGGAAAAGTTTCAAGTAATACACCCGAGGGTGTTAAAGGTATGCTATCCTTAAAAATTATTATTATTTTCTCAATCCGATGATAATATTTATTTTATTTTTTTAAATAGTAACTTTAGGATATTTTGATGATATATTAATCCCCACAAATAATGATGATGGCTGGAGGTTGTAAGTTCAAAAAAAATTCTTTTTTGATATCATTTTAAACTATTTGATCAAACCTATTAAAAAATATATTTATTATCTAAGTGATTTTGGATCACAAGTTTGGGTAAGGTTATGGGACAATCCTTTACCGGAAAATTTATGGAAATCGGTAGAAGATAAATATTTATATATGTATATGGATAAGGATCAACCATTAAAATTTAGAATTATAGAAGAGAAATTTACGGATATTGGTACAAAAGGTCCACCACCCAAACGTACTGGGGCCGTAGCTGGACAAAAAGTTCCTCAACCTGGTTCTTCTTCATTGCCTTCTGATGTCATGATTGTTGGTAATAATAAGAGTGTAACAAATTTACAACAAAATATTACTGGTGGTGATATTACTGCTACTGAATCCAATTCTACTATTGGAGGTACTTCGGTTTTACAAGGAAGTAGATTATTAGGGGCGACCACTATTTCTTCACAAACCAATAAACTCAAACAAGCACCTTATGAAATTATTGGTTCTGTCGCCGAAGTTGGTTTGGGTTTAACTTCTTGGGCTTGGGATTAAAAAAAGCTTTAAAAAAAATCTTGTAGAAAAAAGCACATGTACCGTATATATATATATATATGATGGATAATTCTAAAAGTTTAATTATAGATATTATCAACTTTTTGTTTTCGTAATTTGGCTGTTATAGTAAATATATATATATATATATATATATAAAATAAAAGATATCGTCAAACAAGTTTTGAAAATGAACTTTATCATAAGATTAATTAATCCAAGACATCATCATCGTGGTCATTTTTTTCAAAATTCGCATTAAATTTAGTCACGTTACTCGAAGGAGATGGTGATGAAGATAGTGAAGAAGTTGGTGATGGCCGTATAGAAAATTCTGTATCTTTGTTGAATGGGAATAATGATGTTGGAGATTTTATCGATGCCCATCTTGCACCTGTTTTTGGAGTAAAATCAGAAATATCCGGATGTTCTTCAAAGGATTCTCTTATTTTTTCTCCCTTGCATTTTGTTATTGTATTATCATCATCTTCTTCAATAGGAATCAACTGAAATATAACAACAAAAAAAACAATTGAAGAATCGCGTGATTTGCACACATAACGAACAGGCTGAAAAAAAATTAATTCAAAATGTCAAAGAATTACGCGTTTTTAAAATAATTTGTTAAGGTAAAGTCACTGCAAAATTTAAATTAATCATTTACCTGTCCTTCCCAATACTGTAGGACTCCTAGTTTAAATCCAGGTAACTATAAAAGAAAATATAAAATATCAAAAATCTAAAATCACGAAAATCAAAAAAAAAAATTTCTTTTCTTCTTATTACTTTTATAGCAACATCATTAAAATCTACATAGGCATTAAAGAAATCAAAGTTCCAAACTTGACTTTCTTTAATTGGAAAATTTTTTCGATTTTCTTTTGATTTGAAATATTTTTTTCTCATAAAAACATTATTTAATACTTCAATCTTATGACCATCACGTGGAAAAATAACATTTTCTTCAACATGTTCACCGTTTATTGAAGGCCATGGTGGTAATTCTCCATCTTTAATATCAGGTTCTTCATGTACATTTAATCTATTCATGGTAAAAGCCAGTGGACTATATGCCCATGGTTTATCACAAGTAATATCTGCTTCTAATCCAGAATCAATATATTGAAGAATCTTTAATCCAAACCATGATCCAGGCGGTAAATTAATTTTCTTATCAAAATCATTCTAATGTATATATATATATATATATTAAAAAAAAAAAAAAAAATTTGATAGTTAAGACGCGTGATTTGAAGTCGGGTTCGAAATTAAAAGGTTTTACATTTACACCAAAGATAATGTCATCTGCTGTCAAATCATTCCCTTTAAACCTTCCTTGTACTTGAATTGAATATTGATCATTATTTCCTTCAAAATAAGGGCTTGATTCGATCCTTGATGTACTTAATGGTGTTATTCCTTTAAAATCTCTTATACGAACGCATATTCTGGCTGTAAAATTTTGTGTATTAATATAATATGGGTTAGAATCATCATTTGGAAGTATTGTAATGTGTGATTTTGGATCATAGGATGTTCCTAAACTAATCTGTAATTTTAATTTACTTTCATTCATATTTTGAAAAAAAAAATATCTCGGTGAAAAAAGTGTTTATGTCATGTCTTACTACACATGCTGATCATTTTGACATCTATTTATTAATGACCAAACATGGAAGGTGCACATGCCAAAATTTTCCCCAAAAAAATATAAATAGCGCGCCTTTTTTTATTTTTTTTTGGAATGTTAAAAAAATATGCAATACTCCCATTCATCGCAACCTTTTAATTTCGTTTTCGAATATGGTCTCTTCATTCTTATAATGATCGTTTTTTTCTATAATTTAGATTTATCCAAATTGAAATTAAGGCGATATGGATTTCCACAGGTTTAAATTTAATTAAAAGTCTTTTTGGTAGAAAATTTAAAATTTTAAATTTAAAAATCCATCGTTTTATATAGCATATAACAGGAAACGAAAAATGGGTAGCTGATTTCATTTATCCCAATCATTGGAAAAGTGGTTCAATTATTGAAGTTTCTCACAAGGTTTAATTTAATATCAACTCAGTTTATGCAATCACTCATTTATATTTATATAAATTGATTTTATTTATTCTTTATTTTTAGATTGGACTAGAAAAACGAACACAAATAATAATTCCTAAATCAATAATTGTTTACTTGTTAGTATACGTGTCGGCCCTTTTCATATTATCATGGATGTGGGAACCAAAATCTAAAAATATAGAATGCGTTAAAAAATCTTTAACCCCCGAGTTATATTAAAAAAAAGTCATTTGGGACCGTGATTTTGGTGTATATATTATATAATTTGGTCATTCTCTCTCTAATATAGTCACTAACTTTATATAATCAAAGAAATAAACATTTAATTTCGATGTTTTTTAAAATTTGCAAACCATATTCAATAAAAAAATTTTGATCGATTCCGCTAAAAATGCATTATACACGTCGTTTCCAACTGATGTTTCGTCGTTAATGAAATTTATTTCTCAAGCTTAAATTAAATTTCCTAATTAAATAAATTAATTAACTTACCACAAAAAGCCTTCCTTGGAGATTAACTTCCGGTAACAACTCCACAAAAATCATCTTTAATGGTTCCAATTGCAAACTTTTTTTTATTGAGAAAAAATTAAATAAATATTTTTTTCTTTTTTTTTTTTAAAAAAATATAAAAAATGCAGATTTTCGTTATTCTATACACTCACAATATCAGTTGCGTCAAATCTTGTTCCAACAATCTTTATTCTAACATGAGTTCCTTTTTCAATTACCGCATACTAAATCAACAATTCTCTTAAAATGAATTTGAAATTTCAGTAAAATTATAGTTAATTCTAACTTACGGAATCTTCACTATTGTTGGCATAACATGGTGGGTTTTTTGTTGGATCGAATTTTAAATCTTGAGGAATCAACTGTAAGAGAGAAAAATCTAGTTAAAAAGTTCAAATAATTACTTGATTAACTGATAAATCTAATCTGCTTACATGACTAGAAACAAATACTTGTAACGGTCCAACATCAGCAAAGAAACCCATCTAAACATATTTAATATTCAATTCAACATTCTTTTAAACATTCAATGTGCAAAAATTCTCTATTACCTTGTTAACCTGACTCACTACACCATCCACGACTTCTCCTTTAAAAGGTTTGAAAACAATTGCTCTATACGCAACTTCAAATTCGGCTAATCCAACTGATGGTATTACTTTTCCTTGAGAAATCTCTAAAGTTTCGTTAGTATCTAATACTGCTATAACATAACCAAATCTTCCTGTACAAGTTCCTTCAACATCTTTATATAATTTTTCTGTAAGGTAATTTTCAAAATTTTGTGTAAAATAAGCAGGGTGGAGTTGAATGGTATGATGCAACTTTTTCTATAAAAAAAGTTGTAAAGACTCGATCAAATTAAAAAAAAGAATGAGGAGAAAAGAATATATATATATACACACTTACAATAAAAAACATTTTGTAATTCTACAAATCTGGAAAGAAAAAATCAATGATTTATAGGATCTTACTTCATCCAATCATCGTTTAAAGTTAATTTATGTGTGAAAATCAATTAGTGACATCAATAAATATAAACAAATGTCATTATTAAAAAGATTTTCAGAGTTGAGATTTTCTTAAATGAAAATCGTTTCATTAAATTTTTTTATTTATAGAGTATATAAGAGAGCAACGTTTATAAAAAATATACATAAACCAATATTGATTTTTTGACATCTATTTATACATTTTACATTTTTTATACATAAAGAGTTTAAATTTTAAAGTCCAGCTATATTTTTTTTAGACATTTGTTTTTAAGAAATTGTGAATTATCATATTCTTCCGAAAACAAGCAACCCCAACATCTGTTTTATATAGGTTCCGAAAATAAGCAACACTTCATTTTTTTTTAATAAAATTTTTTTTAAATAAATAAATAATTTAGCTTTATAAACATATTATAAATGCATTCAATTGTTTATTTTATTATTACAATAAGAAAAAAATATTATGAAATTAACAAGTTATTAGTATTTATCCAAAATTTCTAGTAAAAAAAAATTAATTTATAATGTTAATGATATTATTCTTACTAACAGTAGTATCGGAATCATTATCAGTGATATCATCATCATAATCATCATTGTCATAATCATTATCATGATCATTAACATCGTCATTACTGATATTACTTGCACTCTCATTTGAAATATTACATGTTTTAAAGGACTTAACAATTATATCAGTAAATATAATCTTTCACAAACATTTTACCCTTAAACACATATTACTAAGACTTGCATAGTGAAGATTTTCTGAGCGGTTTCTCCAGCACTACCATCTGCCATCCAAGAATGTTACTCCTTTTGAAGATTGTTTTTAAACAGAGTATTAATGAAGACATCAAATGGTTGGCATTTACTTATCAATTTGCCTGAGATTATCATAAGATAAATACTATTTTCACAAATCTTTTTTAATCAAATCTTTTAAGTGGCCTTTGAATAAATCATAAATGAGCATTGCTAGATCTTCTCATGTTCTATTTCTCACCCTTACATTATTGAAATAATCTATATGTCTCTGCATCAAATTGGTATCCATCCAACTAGGGTTGACAAAAAACCTTGAAAAACCTTAAAATAACCTCAAATAACCTTATAATATTATAAATTTCAAGTCAAATGACCTTATAATTTATAATCACTACATTCAACTATTGGTTTAAAATCAAATAATGATTTCTGAATACATTTTTTATTCATGTGACATTTGTTTGCCTTTAAAGATACAAATTGGTGAGAATTTAAACCTGTCTATTGTAAGATTAAAAAATCAAATAAAAAAATTTAAGTGGAAAAAGTAGGAAATGTAAAAGAAATAAAAAAAGAATGATACCTGCAACATATATAAGGACTACTGTAAATCGATTTCTTTAGTGAAATACCACCATGTGATATAATTATATCACATAGTGGTATTTCACTCATCCTAAATCATAGTATTACTATATAATCAGAATACCACTATATAATCTAAATATCATCATATAATCTGAATACCACTATATAATCTAAATTTCACCTTCGATCTGTATATCACCATATAATCTAAAGATATAATCTAACTACCACCATATAATCTGAATAATATAATCTAAATATCGCTATATAATCTATTTGTTTTCTTGTGTTAGATATCTATTTTATATTCTAGCTATTCTTTTAAACCCTTTCTGATATTCATATTATTTACCACTATATAATCTAACTACCACCCACTATTTAATCTAACTACTGCTATATAATCTAAGTATCACCATTTTCTTCTTGTTTCTTTCGTCTACATGTTAAATTCTACATTGTTGGTATTGGCTTTCCATCCTTGTTTGAATGCCTGGTTCTTTATTGAAGATACTGGCCTCTTGCGTCTGAATGGATGATAAATTTCATATTGAGGTACTTACCCTTTACGCCTATTTGGTTGCCTTTCTAGATGCTGAAATTATGTAAAAAAAAGGTGACGATGACGTGGTATATTTGTGATTAATTTTGCCTGGCTTTGTAGTATAACTCTGGCTGACCTTTTGGGCATGTAATTTTAGATCCTAGCTTAGTAACATGATAGCGCTATGATGGTATCATGGAACTGTCATGAAACTGTTGAAGAACTGGTAGGGAACTGGCAGGATGCCTGAGAGATTTCATTTATTTGCCAGTTTTAGTCCACTTATATGTCAGCTTGAATGCTGAGTTATTACGCCCAAAGTTCTGGTCAAAGTTATGGAATAGTGCTGACCAAAATTAAACAAATAAGTCTTAATCTATATATAAAATTATGATTTAAATTAATAAAAAATTTTTTTTAAAAATTGAGTTTTAGAAATAGCTATCATCAACGAAATTTGACATGTATTAAATAATGCAATGGAAAGACTAGACAAAATGGAAGAAAAATTAAAAAAATTTGAAGAAAAGGAAAATGATGATTAATGATATAAATAGGAATAGCACAGTAAGCATAATATTTATTAAATTATAATTATGCTTATTATTATTTTACTTTTTCATATAATGTACTTATGACTACTATGACTACTCAATATTTTTACATATTTTTACATTTTGTACTTATAAAAATATTTTGAATTGATGTCATTGATGTTAATAAGTAGTTAAAGAGTTATGAAGAAGAATGAAAAGTAAAGAGCTTAGTAAAAAGAAGGAGAAGCAATTAATTTAGAATTCTAAATAAGTCAAATGAGTTATTACACAAATTACCATTATTAAAAATTCATATAACTCTTTTTTGATAATTTTCAATTTTTGACAGCCAAAAATTTCCTTTTTAGAAATTTGTGCAACTGTATGTCCATATTTGGTATTTTATATAGCTCATTTTGGTGGCAAAATGCAATCCCAAAAATTTACAGAATTTTGGAAAATATGCAGGTTATGAAGTTTAAAATAACACATTTTCTTTAATATTTTAGCATTCAATGATCTATTAGAAATATAACACATATCATTTTGATAAGCATATCT